TCCAAATAAGAGGCATATCATTGAATTATAGCAGCATAGTTTCTGTACCCGCAGATTCTTCCCATTTGGGAGTTTCTTCGACAAGAAAACACTGTAAATGATTAATCAAGTATTTTTGAAGATGATTAAGAATTCAGGAAAATATTTCTTTGTCAGCTGCTACCATTCAGCAGAATTCAGTAGAAGCTTTTCATACTACATCACTTAATCTAGATAATGAGCTCAGTCATGAAATTTGTCTTGACTTCAGCAGCCTGAGCATGATTTCACTGTCTTTTACTCCAGCAGTTGTTTAGTATGATTATTATATATTCATGAATGTGCAATCCTTTCCAGTTTAGAGGATACTTAACGCTGCAGTTTCTATCTATAAGATTTCAAAATCACTGCTACTACTGGTATTTTTCATGGTTTTACCTCAAATACTGTATGTTCTGCAGAATTCTTTATGCAAGCCTCTTCTAGCAACAACTGATTCTCATAAAATAGCATTATGGTTTTGAATATCACTCATTCTCCACCTACTACTACAGGACATAATGTACTGTCTTTTGACTGATGTGACAATATAACATTGTAAGATACCCAGATACTTAAGTACCTAAAAAAAAAAAATAAAACACTGAAAGAATAATGAAGTTACAAATTTTTAAACTCAAATAGCAGATTTTTATTAGCTGTTTGAGGAATTCACATAGTCATTAAAATAATGCCTGTATTTTTTTTTATAGCAACCAGATAGTGTTCTCTAGGAGCTACATATAGCTCTACAAGGATTTCACAACTGAAGCCTTTTCTAAATTGCTAAATTGTTGAAGATCTGAATATATGCACATGTGATATCTACTTTAGATAAGATTAGCAGAGAACCTAACAGTAAATGATTCTAAAGATACAGGAAGTGGGAAGAAAGGATTCAATCTAATAGCAGGAGTTATCTTAAGAATGCAATTTTCAAGCTACTCTGTAGAAATGTTGAAGAGCTTGATCTAGGAGTGTAGGAGCTGACAATGGCTATTGAGCACACTTGAGATACAGGAAAAGCCTGTAGGCAATTTACATTAATAAGCTATGCCCACAGGGTTATGCTCAAAGGCATCTGATGTCGAGACCAGCACTGCAATTTACAGTGAAGAACAGACCCATTTTTTCTTCTACAGAAAGAATAAACAGCAAAATGTGAACAAAGGAGATAAGTTGCATTTAACTTATAAAGGTACTAAGCTTTATAAGTCATAGACTAAATTCAGTAAAAATGAGGTCCAGACAATAACACATCAATAGCTTCTATTCACTTCAAGAACTGCTTATCAAAAAACACTATTTAGCCATCAGTGATTAAGAACAGTGATATTATAACAGAGATTACATCCCTATCCAGTGTGTTACTTCATCTTGGAAATATACTATAACTTACTGAGAGACTTTTATTTGATCTCATGACTGCTGACTGTCTTTTGGAGCTATCTGTCCAAGTATGAGAGAATAAATAGGTGAGTAAAGGATACTAAAACAGGAGTCTGTTACGGAGAACTCTGAACAATTATGTTCATAGCAGATTTGCTTGAACTAATTACAACCGATTTTAATGTGAGACTATTTAGATGTACAGCTTCTGTAGTTTCTGTTTTTCTTAATGTGTGAAGGGAAGAGGTGTTCTGAGAGTTGAATAGTTGAAATTGCTGGACTATTCAGAGAGCTGGAGAGTTGTAGGAAAAATGGATGCTAAATAAAGTAGCCGTGAAGCACTGGGATAGTATCTTTAAGAGTGCTACAGAGTTAGAGCTGCCTTCTGTTTTGGAAGGGACCTGATATACTTGACTGCAGGGGAGCCCTGACAATTTTACTACTAACTTCACTGAGGAGGAGACATATAGTTATCTTTCTGTATAAAGAGTTTACTATCCAGATGCTTTGCAGAACAAAGGTATCGTTAATTACTGAGAGATTAATTTGATCCTTGTAGTTAACTTTCTGACAAAATGAGATTTTATATCAGCTGAGAGAGACTGGGAGAGAGCTCTTATTTTTTAGTATCAAGTCTTATACAGTTCATCAGCTTTACAGATTAGAAGTCTGACAACTCTTTATGTCTCCTAGTATATTACACTGGCTGCTTCACAGCAACAGACACTGATAGATATGCATTAGTTTTATAATGCTTAGGAAATTGGCAGTTAAAGTCTGTGCTGCTGTTCCTCCAGCACCACATGAAGTCCCAGATCCTTGCTGAAACATCGCTGCAGTGCAACAGATGAACATTACACAATAACAGACTTTGCTCTGCAGAGCTCAGTGTTTTGTGCAGTATGATCATGACATTATATAGATGCATAGCTAACAAATTAGCACTAGCTCTTCAAAACACTAGCAGTCTGATTCAGACATGATGTGATGTCACATATGCTCTCCTCAACCCCACACCTGATTCTACAACATGCTGTCTGCTCTGTGTAGAGCAAAACCTGAACAATTCTTTATTGGGGGGGGGGGGGGGGGGGGGGGGGAAGGTACAACTGCCTTATTTCTTCCTTTTCCCTATGTCTTACCTACATGAGCTGTTTGTACTGACTTTCATTAATTCAAAATCCCCAACTTTATATTGCTGTTTATAAGCCCTTAAATTGCCTGGTGATACAGTGCCTAACATCAAAAACATTGGTTGAAAATTTCCTTTCAATGTCATTCAGCACAACTGTAGCACCAAAGATAGATGAGTGGTAAGACACCCTGACCACAAAGTTCTCATGTGCATGGCCTTACTGGAATTCTATTAATTGACATTTTAATAGCTATATAATTTTTCTTTTCTATCAAGGTGTTATAGTGCCCTGAATCAAAGTCTCAGGCAGGGCAAATGTTGTGTACTCTACAAAGGTGCACGGTGCACTGATTAATAAAGCCCTTTGGCTTTTTCTGTTATTCGTTGTCCATCTTGCCAACTAAACACTTTTAAAGGGCCTGAAGGAATATTTAGAATGGAATTACATACCTTCCCAGAATGTAAATTCTAAATCTCAGTAAATAAGAGACGTATATCTGCTCCTGGAAGTGTTCCATGCATAAGTTCAAAGAAATTTTAGGAGAAGTGTTGTTTTGTTTGTTTATTTCAATTCTGAGAAAACGGCAAAGAATTCAAGTATCAAACCAACTTTTCAAAATCTTATTCAAAAAGTAGATGAAGGAATGCTGCCTTGCCTTGCCTTCCCTTCCCTTTCTCTTCTGTTTTTTCCACTAAGACTGTGCCATTGCGGCTGTCACAACCAGAGCCTTTTAAAGCTTGCCACGTCCTATTGTCTGTGCCTGCAAGTCACTCTCAGCCTTTAAAGCTCCTTCCCCTTTGCTGGCTTCCAGGCAACATTCAGAGTGTTCTCCCAGTCTAATGTGTGTAATAACCATCACCCCTCCGACCCTGATTTAAGTGCAGATGAAGTGAACTGGAAGTCTCCAGGCTCTGTCACTGAATTGGTTCCAAAAGGTAAAATCTCCTGTAATGTGAAAAATGCTGTGGGATAGAGGAAGCTGTAAAGAATCTGAAGGTCACATACTGTCCTTTAAATTCATCCTATAGACTAACACTGAAGCCTGTGCGTCTTTAGTCCACTGAAACATTTCTTTAAACCTGGTTTTACATTTAAAAATTGAGTATGATATAGCTGCATCTTGGCATATACCAATTCATCTCTGCCCTTCCCACACATTCTAGTGTTTTCCATTCTGTTGAACTGATGAATTGATTAATGAATATTAACCACTGTAGTGCACATAAATCTGTGGCTATTTGTTGCTACATTGACAAACTATTCACCAGAATACCAAAAAGAGTTTTTCCCTCATTACTGAAAAAAAAGAGGTGATACATAAATGTTTTTTTGCAGTAGGGTGCTGAGGAATGTAAATTACTGATGATTAGTGTCCTACTTTTATTAAGAATGAAGTAGGGGTTTTTATCTATTTAGTGATTCTCTGGTCGATTTCTGGAGAACAGTATGCTTCCCTGGCTGTGGGAGGACTTTGTGTTTCCCTGGAAGTACCTGTCCCTGCCTGCCTCTCCTGTCCGTTCTGTGATACTTGAGGAAAATAGTAGCCTTTTTTTTTTGTTTGTTTACTCCTTTCTTGTTAAATATTTTCAGATTCTCCAGCATACCTTCTGTTCAAGAGCGCTTCTTGAAGGAGCCAATTGATATCTGTTTATTCTTAATCCAGGAAATGACTAGTATTTTTAAACAGTGAAAAATCTAACTGAAGTTACGCAAGTTCAGTTTCTGTACACAGCAAATTAAGCCGAAAGAGAATGACCAAACTGCAAATGAAGACCTTTGCTTCCCATTTTACAAAGCAGAACATCACCTAAAAATTGTACCACTGTAACAATTACTTATTTTTGGAAAAAAATAATCTAGAGGCCCAGGAGAGCGATTTAGCATCCATTATACCTATTCATGTCATCACATTTAATAATGTAAGAAAATGTCTCCAGGTGCTTGCAATGAAAGCATGTGGCAGGGGGCAATAGTTTAATACACAAAAGAGAGGAAGAAAGAAAAAGGTAAAAAGGAATTTGTTTTCATTAGTAAAATGAAAAGCAGACATGACCCAGAAATGTCTGGATATGGTCAAGGGGCAGAGGTACATTTTAATAAGTCCTGAAGAAGACAGTACAATGGCTTAGTAAATATTTATCCAAATCTTCTTGGCACTATTTATGTAAAAATACAAAGTTCTTTTAAGTATTCTATGGTTTAGTTAATCAGAATCCATCCAAGGGAATGAAATAATCATAATTATTTCATAAATGTGTGTTGCCTGAAAATCAGTGTGTTTTGCTTATTTTTGTTTTGCTCAATTTTGTTTTATTCTTTCAGTATACTGCAGTTCCTCTACAGAGGAAGGTTGTACTAAAAGACTGATTTCCTGTGGTGTAAATTAGAGGTTCATAAGACTAGGGGACTTTCAGTTTTTCATTTTATCACCAGCTGTTTTGTATCTGTAAATTGCAGGTGAATCTGTCTGGAAAGTCTTCTTCTTCACTCCAAACTTCAGTCCAGAAGACTCCAATGGTTGCTATGATTCTCATGTTTGCTTCTGCCATGGAAGATTCATCACATGGCATGATCCCCCACTGCTCTTTGATCTCTCCACGGACCCTGAAGAGAAAGTCCCACTGACTCCAAAAACAGAGAGACGTTTCTATGAAATCCTCAGTGTCATACACCTAGCAATAGAAAACCACACCAGATCCTTGCATGCTGTCCCTAACCAGCTGTCATGGGACAACCTTCTCTGGAAACCATGGCTACAGCTGTGCTGCTCCTCTCTCCTTCAGTCTTGCTACTGTGATCATGACTCATAAAGGAGCCTGCTGGAAGTCAATTCAGGATAAATAAGTTGCAATTCCCTTTCAGAAGCTGGAACAAGAGAGTGTGGGTAACTGACTTGAACCACCGTGGTACCAAACTTCAGAATGTTTTGTTATGTAGGAGCACCTGTCTTCAAATCACAGAATCACAGAATCCCAAGGGTTGGAAGGGACCTCAAAAGATCATCTAGTCCAACCCTCCTGCAAGAGCAGGGTAACCTAGAGTACATCACACAGGAACTTGTCCAGGCGGGCCTTGAATATCTCCAATGTAGGAGACTCCACAACCCCCCTTGGGCAACCTGTTCCAGTGATCTGTCACTCTCACAGTAAAGAAATTTTTCCTGATGTTCACATGAAACCTCCTATGCTCCAGTTTACACCCATTGCCCCTTGTCCTGTCACTGGACATCACTGAAAAAAACCTAGCTCCATCATCCTGACACTCACCCTTTACATATTTGTAAACATTGATGAGGTCACCCCTCAGTCTCCTCCAAGCTAAAGAGTCACAGCTCCCTCAGCCTCTCCTCATAAGAGAGATGTTCCATTCCCTTAATCATCTTTGTAGCTCTGTGCTGGACTCTCTCCAGCAGGTCCCTGTCCTTCTTGAACTGTGGGGCCCAGAACTGGACACAATATTCCAGATGCGGCCTCACCAAGGCAGAGTAGAGGGGAGGGGAACCTCTCTTGACCTACTAACCACACCCTTTCTAATGCACCCCAGAATGCCATTGGCCTTCTTGGCCACAAGGGCACATTGCTGGCTCACGGTCATCCTCCTATCCACCAGGACCCCCAGGTCCCTTTCCCCTACACTACTGTCCAGCAGGTCAGCCCCCAACCTGTACTGGTACATGGGGTTGTTCTTCCCCAGATGCAAGACTCTACACTTGCCCTTGTTGAATTTCATCAAGTTCCTCTCTGCCCAACTCTCCAGCCTGTCCAGGTCTCACTGAATGGCAACACAGCCCTCTGGTGTGTCAGCCACTCCTCCCAGTTTAGTATCATCAGCAAACTTGCTGAGGGTACATTCACTGGTCCCAGCACCGACCCCTGAGGGACTCCACTAGTCACAGACCTCCAGCTAGATTCTGCCCCATTGACCACAACTCTCTGCCTTCTTCCTTCCAACCAGTTCTTGATCCACCTCACTACCTGATCATCAAGCCCACACTTCCTTAGCTTATCTATGAGGATGCTGTGGGAGACAGTATCAAATGCCGTACTGAAATCAAGAAAAAACACATCTACCGCTCTACCATCATCCATCCACCTAGTTACTTGCTCATAGAAGGCTATAAGGTTGGTCAAACATGTCTTCCCCTTGGTAAAGCCATGTTGGCTGCTCTTAATGACCCCCTCATCCTTGATATGCCTAGAGATGGTGTCAAGAATAAGTTGTTCCATCACCTTTCCAGGGATGGAGGTAAGGCTGACCGGCCTATAATTACCCGGGTCCTCCTTCTTGCCCTTCTTATAGACTGGCATGACATTTGCCATCCTCCAATCCTCAGGCACCTCTCCTGTTTCCCACAGCTTACCAGAGATGATGGAGAGTGGCTCAGCAATGACCTCGGCCAGCTCCCTCAGCACCCACAGGTGTATTCTATCCAGACCCATTGATTTATAGACGTCCAGATTACTTAACTGATCCCCAACACAATCCTCATCTACCAAAGCAAACTCCTCCTTTATCCCGACTCCTTCCGGGGCTATAGGAATCTGGGTCCCCCGGGGAGAGTCTGCAGGAGTAAAGACAGAGGCAAAGAAGGCATTCACCACCTCTGCCGTCTTTATATCCTCTGTCTCCAGGACACCCACCTCGTTCAGCAGTGGGCCTATATTGCTTCTTGTGTTAGTTTTATCCGCTATGTATTTGAAGAAGCCCTTTCTATTGTCCTTGACCTGACTTGCCAGATTAAGTTCCAAGGAGGCCTTAGCTGTCCTAATTGCTTCCCTACATCCTCTAACAGCTGTCCTATATTCCTCCCAAGTGGCCAGCCCCTCCTTCCATAATCCATAGATTCTCTTTTTCCGTACGAGTTCGCCCAGCAGTTCCTTGTTTAACCATGCTGGTCTCCTGGCTCCCTTAATTGACTTCCTACCCATTGGGACACTCTGATCCTGAGCTTGGAAGAAGTGGTTCTTGAATGCTGACCAACTATCTTGAGCCCCTTTACCACCTGGTACCCTTTGCCATGATACTTCCCTTAGCAATTGATTGAAGAGGCCAAAGTTTGCCCTTTGGAAGTCCAGAAATATGGCCTTGCTAGTTATTCTATTCCTCCCACACAAGATCCTAAACTCCACCATCTCATGGTCACTGCAGCCCAGGGTGCCATTGACCATCACCGCTTCAACCAGATCCTCCTTGTTGGTGAGTACCAGATCCAGCAGCACTCCTCTCCTAGTTGGTTTGTCCACCATTTGCATTAAGAAGTTATCATCAATGCACTGGAGGAACCTCCTAGACTGTGAATGATTGGCTGTGTAAGTCTTCCAGCAAATGTCGGGGTAGTTAAAATCCCCCATAAGGACCAAGGCATGTAGTTGTGAGGCTGCTTTCAATTGCCTGTAGAAAGCCTCATCAACTCCTTCGTCCTGATCAGGAGATCTATAATAGACCCCCACAACTGTGCCACCCGTACCAGCCTGTCCCTTGATTCACACCCACAGACTTTCCACTTGGTCCTCATCTGTTCCTGGACAGAATTCAATACATTCTAGTCGCTCTTTCACATAAAGAGCGACTACACCACCTCACTTTGCTGATCTGTCTTTCCTAAAAAGGACATAGCCATCCATGACCACATTCCAGTCATGTGAGCTGTCCCACCATGTCTCTGTAATTGCCACCAGATCACAACCTTTAGACCACACACAGATTTCTAACTCCCCATGTTTATTCCCCATGCTGCGTGCACTGGCGTACAGACGTTTCAGGGAGCGAGCAGAGCACACTAGTGGCACCCTTGGAAGGCGGGAGGCCTTCTCGTCTTCATTCATACTAGAACATTGCCCCACTAGTTCAAACCCAGCTACAACCCCCTTACACTTCGAATCTAACCTAGAGCTCTGTGAGTGAACTCTACTAACTCTCACCCATGTACCCTTTTTCCCCTGCAGGACAGGGTCTAAACAACTATCCTTTCCCTCAAATGAAACAATAGATTGAGAGTCCTCCCTAGTCAGCCATCCTTCAAGCCCTAGCATGTTTCTCTTGGGCTTGTCCCCAACAGGCCCAGTTATCTCCCCTTCCCCCTTCCTACCTAGTTTAAAGCCCTGTCAATGAGCCCTGCTTACTCCTGCCCCAGAAACCCTTCTCCCCCTCTGGGACTGATGTATCCCACCTGCCACCAGCAAACCAGGTGTCTCATATAGCAACCCATGATTGAAAAACCCAAACCCCTGCCTTTGGCACCAGTCCTGTAGCCATATATTGATCTGCAGTCTCTTCCTATTTATCTCTTCACCTTTGCTTGTAACAGGTATGGAGGCAAACACCACTTGTGCTCCAGACCCTCTAACCAGCTGTCCCAGGGCCCTGAAGTCTCTCTTCATTGCCCTTGCCCTGCTTGTAATAATTTTATCACTGCCAACTTGAAAAACCAGCAGCAGATAGTAGTCAGAGGGCTGTACCAGATCAGAGAGTTTCCTTTTAACATCTCCAATCCGAGCCCTAGGCAGGCAGCAGACTTCCCTGTGGGATTGATCAGGTTGACAAATGGGCCCTTCTGTTCCCCTCAGAAGGGAGTCACTCACCACAATTACTCTTCTTCTTGGTTGAGGAAGTTCTAAGGCATGGGGGTGAGTGACAAGCCCTAGGTGACTTACTAGATGGATCAACCCCTCCATCTCCATTTACCTGGCCCTGTAGTTCCAAGACCTCATACCTGTTACTCAAGGACAACTGGGAGGAAGGAAGGGATTGTGAGGGTTTTCGCTTACCTCTCCGAGCAGGGACCTCCCTCCATACTTCCTTAAGTTTACTCCTTCTATATGATGGTAGGAGGGAAGGGCATCTATCACTTGTTCAACCACTTCCCTCTGCCCTTGCCTTAGGGTGTGGCTCCACCAATCTATTTCACTTTCACACTCTCTGATAGCTCTCAACCTTTCAACGTCCTCCCTCAGTTCAGCCACCTGCCTGAGCAGGTCATCTATTCACTGACACAGCACACAAGCGGTGTCATTGGCTCTCTCCGATACAAGTGCCAGGCTCAGGCATTCACTGCAACCAGAGACCTGCAGGGCCGCATGTCTGCAGGAAGGCTCAGTCCGGGTACCCACTATTATTCCTCACTACAGGTTTTGATCGAGTGGTGACCATGATCTCTCTGGTTGATCGGTCCGTCTACGTCTCTCTGCACAAGCAAGCAGTCCTTCCTCCTCCTGCGCTCCAGTCGAGCCCTCTTGATCAGGCGGTCACCCCACTCGCCTGCCCGCGCAAACTGCCTCGCCGCTCTCCCTGCGCAGGTTTTTAACCGCTCACAGCTGCCGCCGAGCCTGCTGGCTCCACCCCCGGTGAGTCAGCTGCTCGCCAGAGCTGAGCTGCCGGCTCCTGGACTTGAGGCTTTTGTGGCTCTGAGTTGAGGCTCTTGGACGCTGATCTCTCCCCGCTCCACTCCGGTGTTGCAGGCGTCCTCTCTTAATCTACTCACCTCAGCAAATGCATCATTGCAGAAGAGGATTTCTGTCAAGAAAATGTTCCAAGAGAAGGAGGGCAAGACACACCTTTTCTATCTTTATAATGCAAGAATCAATATGAAGCACGTGCTGTCATCCTTATCTTCCAATAGGCAGGCTGTAGACACTTGCTAGATGAGATAATTATCTAGATATCTTCAGCTTCAGCTTTCGTCTTTCACAGCAAGAAATTTGCCTATAGTTTATGTCAATTACAATCACTAAATACACACTTTCCAGTCCTTTTTGCTAAGTGCTACCCGGTATTAGTAGGACATTAGAGAGCAGTTAAAAATACAGAGATAATAATGCAGAGGTCCACCTGTTACTATAATTTAGTAACTGATAGGTAAAGAGGACACCTGCAACAGCATCTCTATCAGGTATTATGGATATGAAATTATAATAGCTTGCCAAAAATCTAACATTGCTTGTGCCATAATA